AAAAAAAAAATATATATATATATATATATATATATATAAATATATTGTATATAATGATAAAATTCACATTCCAACAAGAAAAGGGATGAGTCAAAATTATAAATGACTATAAATTAATTATATATTATATTTACATTCATATTTTATTTATAATTATTTCTTATTTAATTCAATATATTTTATTAAAATATAATTAAATATTATTTAATGACACTATAGTTCATTTATGTAAGTGAGGAGAGCAAAATAAAGTCAACTGTGACATATTAAACCCAAACATTATTCATACAGTGGACAACCAGTAAAACTGATTTAAAAAATGGGACCAAATGTTATTCAGACACTTCGACCTGAGCATGTTTTGCTTCAGTGTCATCTGACATCATCCAGATGAATGTGTTCTGACACAGTTTAACTCGGAGTTCTTGTCATATTTTATTACTATTCTCTAAACTATAGCCGATAAACTGTGATAATGTGAGAAATCTGTCTGAATACATTTTGGTTTGACTGTATATATATATATTTAAAAATAATTATTTGAATATTTTTTTATTTAAATATTTTTTTTTTCACGTTGGCCTGAACAAAAGCAGCAGATGGGCTGAATGAAAACTCATCAGATTCACGGAAACCACGTGAACGGCCTGTTTCAGTGTCAGAACCAGTGACTGTATAAAAACATGGACGTAGTGTCCGTGACGTCACCCGTAGATTTCCGAAGAGTGTTTTTGAAGCTTTAAAGTGGCGTCACCGCGTGTCACTCCCAGATAATCGAAAATGGGCAAAGAGGCGGGAGCTGGTTGCTGAAGCCACGCCCACCTAGCTCGACGCCGGTGACAGCAGCGGCAATCCACCTGTCACTCAAGTGGCCACGCCCTTAATTATGCAGAACTTTAAGGCTTAATATCATTTAAACGGATGAGTTATAAAAAAAATTCACATCTCTCACAGTTGTCATGAAGGGCAACATTAGCTATATAGACCAAAACCACTTTTTGTACCAGGCTGTAAACACATTTTTTTCTGCTGTAAAGTAGGGCATTTTAACATGAGGAGTCTATGGGACTGACTCACTATTGCAGCCCGCCTCTAGCGGCCAGTCGATGAATTACAGTTTAAGTCACTTCCGTGTTGGCTTCACGAGAGAGAGCGGTAGGGTGCCGCTTGGTCAGAACGGAGAGTTTGCAGATAAAGCAGCTGAAGCTACTGAAAGCGAGTGAGGGCAAGACGCAGAGCGATCTACCGCTGCGTTCACCTAGGGACCGGCTCGACATGATTCCCATTAAATTGTTAATTACATTCTAGGAGCTCAGCATAAAACACACACGGCTCAAGATCAGACGGAAATCATCTGCAGACACGGGGATGCTTCTGGGAAACCGGCCGCTCGTAAAGTGTTTGTGTTGGGGTGAGCACTGCGCCGGCAGATGAAGAAACCAGCGCGCCGGAGACCGTCTTATTCCCACAGCCAATCACAACTCAGCAAACACAAAAGTAGTGCGCTGGGACGATGGGAGAAGAAGCAATCAGACGGCTGTGAAGGAACCGGTGCCAAGAAGACTTTAACCTCTAGCTGCTGTCTGTTTGACGACCCACAGATCAACTCAAGACCGGACAGAAGAAACAGACTCCAGAGATTAAACTAACAACTGAACTGAAATTATTTCAGTGATTAATCAGATATTATACAAATCTTGCTGTCCCTCTTCAAAATAAGTGCAAATTAAAGTATATATAAAGCATGATATTAATTCTGCCTAATATATAATAATAATAATAATAATAATATATATACAAAAAATGAACCGTACGGTTCTCCACACGGTTCTGCAACGCACCTGTAATATGGTTTGCTATAAATAACACGTAAAACACACAGGGTTCGGCTAATGTATGTTTATGTGAGTATCCTGTAGCAGACACAGCCGGCTGAACGTACTGCATCAGTGCATTCTCTTAAAGTGACAGCACTTTCTTAATATTAATCAAACAGCAACAAAGAAATCACTCACTGCTCTAGATTGAATAGCTTTTGCAACTTTAATAAAGATTCATCTTTAATTTATACAGTCAAATATGAAATGCTGTTTTACATTTCATTACTTTTTTTCTATTTCTGTCCCTTTAAACTAATGTTAGACCTACCTAAAAAACCTGAAAACCACAGTTTATTTTATTTGTATCTTTACTCTATTGTATTTATTTGTGCTGTTGCTTGTAGTTAGATAGATTATTCTTATTTTCTATATTTTTATTTGACAGTATAGTTTTTCCATAAACATAGCACATACCGAACCGTACCGAAACCGTGATACAAACCGAACCGTGAATTCCACCCCTAATATATATATATATATATATATATATATAGTAAAAGTATAAAGGTAAAAAATTACAAATATATAATAAAATACACACACACACAAAAAACTAAATTTGTTGACTTAGTCCATTATTATTATTATTATACAAATTATACTTGTTGTTCCTCTTCGAAAGAAGCACAAATTAAATTCTAAAGTAAAAAAATAAAATAAATTATTATGTCTAAAGTGATGCAAATTTTTATCCATAATTTGACGGGGAATGGTAGACCATCAATATTGCCCTAACTACTGTCTGAACAAACTATTTTAAATGTTGCATGTATTGCAGCATGAATGAATGAATGAATGAATGAATGA